TCCGGAATGACTTGATACACGGTCAAATTTGGTGCACATCGAACCCATGTATATTTGACACCTGGCAATCGTTTTCGTGGCACATATTCGGCAATCGGACGACAGATTGATTTCGATTTCGATTTAGTGTGAGTGGTGGCCTGAAGTTTGGCCTTAGCTGCGGCAACTTCAGCCGGTTGGTTCTTTTCATCTTCATCCATTTGTTTATTGATCATGAGACAGCGTTCACGATTTCGAGCACGACAATATTGCTGTAGTTGTACGAAAAATGGCACATGACGATACCAATTTGTTTTCAATTTGGAAAAATAACCGCGTCGATTCGCTTCGAAATCCATCGGATTAAAATCGGTTTGAATACGCTTCAGAAGACGTTCGATAGCTGGTGTCAATAGAATTGGATCACGTTTTTGTTTTGGCTTTTTCACTTTCTTTTCATTTTGTCGCTTTTTTCGTTTGGCCGCTTCATCATCGGTGGCCTTTTTGCGTGGCGGTCGTTTCGATTGTGCCTTTTTCTTATAGAAATTTGGATTCTCTGCCTCGTCGCTGAACAAATAGCGCATTGTATTGGTGATCAATTGGTAATTCGCTTTGCGTATCTGTTTCAATGTTCGACATTTTTGTGGCGGTGAAGGTGTTTTGGCGCGTGATGTGCTCCCAACCGGTTCATTTGATTTCGGATGGTTTGCCAATTCTTCGGAAATCACACAATGATTCAAATATGCCCGAACATTATTATACAGACTACGTATGATACACATCATGAAATTCATATGGTATTGCCGAGTTGCATTGGTGAAAATGTTACCATAACCAATTGGATTTTTCTCAATGACTTTGTGCTTCTGACAGAACTTGCTTATAGTTTTATCCAATTTCCATGTTTTTCGCAATTTTGTCTGGCCATTGATACAATTACCATACACACCACGAAAATAACCATCAAAATAATTACGATAGTATTCACACGTACTGTTCCAAAATTCGGTACGAATGGCATCTTCATTGTTCGATTGCATGATTCGCATGAGACTACAATGTACGTTGAGTGCGCCAAGTCGCCAATTGTGACTCATGTCCGTGACAATTTTATTGATAATGCTAGCCAATTCATCCTTATTCTGTAGATTTTCATTGAACGACTTACGTTTGCCCATTTTGATCGATTTTTTATATTGTCCGAGGAATTGGAAAATGCCAATGCAGCTATTTACCAAGATGAAAATATTGAAGATCGAAAATAACTGTTGGTATTTGCCACAATTGCTATACAAAATAAGCAATGAGGGTACTGTTTTGAAACAGCTACAGACTACCAAAATAAGAACATAGAACATTGCTGTTGCTGCAAATGATTACGCTTGAGAAGATACGCGGTTAGCAAGTCGACACATTTATCGAACAGTATGACCTATTATGTTTCGGAGCATCATACTCGTGCGACACCACTTTTTGATCTACCAACTAGAAGGAATATATTTTTAAATTTTTCATTTGCGAAAACCAAAATATTTAAAAATTGCTTAATAAATAATTGAATTATATTATATTATATTAAATTACTGAAATATGACACCAAGGCGAAGGAACGCTGTTCGGATACTATTATTATTATTATTATTATTAATCAAGTGTATGAATTGGACAATGCCAAAACAACTGATAATGATGATAGAATAACAACATTGTCGAAACAGATGCATACCAGTCCACTTGAAATATTGCTAGTGATGTGAACACGGACAGGAATATAAGTAGCTCTTGCAATAGGTCTGCATCCAATTTTCACTGTCTAAAGAATTGCGAATTTCAGAAAAAATAACAAAAAATATGTAGTAAATTGTTGTGTACAATATATATAAGTTATACAAACATACATTCAACTGCGTACATCAGCAATCCCGAAAACAAGAAAGATGACAACTACCGAATATCAATTTTAAGCAATGTTGTTCGATCCAGCGACCTCACATTTATTTGTGGTCTTTGCTTTAACTTTTACTTTTCCGCACACCTAGTGTAGGGAAGGTATTGTATTAGGCCAAAAAATTAAAGTCATCCCAAAACATGTTTTCTATGCATTTTTAATGTAGAAAACACGATTGGAGATGATTTTGGGGCATATTAATGTGCGTCGCTGTGTGTGATGTGTCCTGTGTCCTGTGTCCTGTGTCCTGTGGCGTGTTGCCAAAATTTGTTAACTCGATAAATCTTTTTCCAAAAACTCAATTCAAATTCTGACTTTGCAGGATGATTTGGGACTACTAGGAGACGTGCTGATTAGTTTTTGAGCAATATCTGTTGACCGGTGTAATTTTTTTGGGTCCGAATGGACACAATCCATACATTTTACTTTTTTGATCATTTTTCAACCATTTTGGTGACACGATGGTTTCGTGCTCAGACATGAAATTCAAAATCTGACTTTACGGGATGATTGGGCATTACGAGGAATAGATCTGGTCAAATTTTCAACGACATTGATTGATCGATGTAAAACTTAGACTGTGAAGAGGCACTTATGAGAAAAATGCCTTAAAATGATATTCTTTCAATTTGAACGCTGAAAGACTGTGTAGTGGGGGGAGAAACCCGAATCTGATATTAGTTTTCATACAAATCCACAAAAAGTTTCATTTTTGTATGAAAGACTTGCCTTTGTGGTACCGTAATGATCTGAAACTTTGAACAGGCTATTTTTTGGATTGAAATTTCTTTAAACTTGGTGTGATTATTTATTTTGATAAGAAAATAATATTCACAAGTTTTCACGGTAATTTAAGTTACTGCAACCATACAAAGACCATGATTTCAGTTTATTCCCAAAATTTCGGTTCCATGCGGAAAAGTCAGCTTGCGTACGTAAGCCTCTTTATTTCTAAACATATTTGTAGTTTCTACTTTTCTGATTATTTTCAGGTTAAACCTCCACATGACAGATTTGGAATATATATCACGAGTTCTTAGCCTGACAAATTATCATGAAGACATTGAAACGATAAAGAAATTCGGTTTCTTAATATTGGACGAAATGAAGAATCGTATAGATAATGAGATTCTTGGAAATTATGGTAATAATTTTGAGTAAGCGTAGTTATTTTAGATTGCTTTTTGTACGGCGGTGTTACATTTCAATAAGTTGTGAATAGAAGTCTCTAGTTCAGTGATTTTAGACACATCAAAAAATATATGTTTTTTCTATTTTCACCATACTTGCTACCTGACTTTTTTAGTCCTACGTAGGTTGCTCCATAATTTTTTTTAAAATGGTACTTATAGTGTTGCCCGATGTAAACCATTGTCATATTCGTAAAGTTTGATGTTTTGGTATGTATTCGTGCCCTGAACCTTTTGTCGTACGAACGCTATTTGTATTGTTTACAGTGACTGGTAAACTGCGACTCAACAAAAAAATGAATTTTACACGTGAAGATTTTCGTAAAATGATTTACTACGATTTTCGAAGTAAATTATCTCAACAACAGTGTTTCGATCGACTTCATTTGGCCTTTGGCAATGAAGCACCAACCCTTCAGACAATTTATAACTGGTACCGAGAATTCCGTTGCGGTCGTAGTTCGCTCAAAGACGAGTTTCATACAGGTCGTCCAAAATCGGCTGTTGTGCCACAAAACATCGATGCTGTCAGAAAACTGATTATGGAAGATCGTCATGTGACCTACCGTGAGATTGAGGCATCTTTGGGCATTTCATCCCACAGCATACATACAATTTTGCATGAACATTTAGCCGTAAAAAAGATTTGCTCTCGTTGGATCCCACATAAATTGACCGATGAACAAAAAATGGCTCGTGTGAGTTGGTGTGAAGAAATGCTCAAGAAATTCAATCGTGGTGCTTCAAAAGACGTTAATAAAATCGTCACTGGTGACGAATCGTGGATATATGCCTATGAGCCCGAAACGAAACAGCAGTCGACTGTATGGGTCTTCCAAAATGAAGATAACCCAACGAAAGTTGTTCGAGCAAGAAGCACTTTGAAGCGAATGGTCACCTGTTTTTTCGGGAGAAGTGGTCATGTGGCAACCGTTCCACTAGAGGATCGTAAGACCGTCAATTCTGATTGGTATACCACCATTTGTTTGCCCGAAGTGTTCGGTGAAATAAGAAAAAACAACCACCGTCGCAAAATAATTCTTCATCACGATAATGCGAGCTCTCACACATCTTTTCAAACTACTCGATTTTTGACCGGTCAAAACATCGAACTGATGGGTCATCCACCGTACAGTCCTGACCTGGCACCCAATGACTTTTTTTTGTTCCCAAGCGTGAAGAAAAAACTACGTGGTCAACGATTTTCGACACCAGAAGAAGCAGTTGAAGCGTTCAAAACACACGTTTTGGAGATATCAGTTTCGGAGTGGCACGAATGCTATGACAAATGGTTTCATCGAATGCAAAAGTGTATCGATCATCTCGGGGAATATTTTGAAAAACAATAAAACCATTTTCGACAAAAAACAACTGTGTTATATATGTTTTTAAAAAAAATTATGGAGCAACCCTCGTATTTCATAGCTAACTTTCAAATTAACTCTTTTTTTTACCTACATTGGACGTTGAAAATAACTGATTGGTGGCGCTAATTTCGGCCGTTACAATGTTCCTGGATGGGTATGTTTACGCTAACAATTGTTTATTGGGTAGTAAATGTATATTCCAATACTGAAGAATTGCTATCTTCTTTCAATTATATAAATAATTATTGTATAATAATGAAGGAAGTAGAGTGTATATGTGAGAGAGATTGTGTGACCGAATGAGTGGATGAGTAAGAGAAGATTAGGAATCATTAGAATGTAAGAAAATAAAGCTTCAACACACTCTTATAAAATAAACAAAAGGAAACATATTGCTGAAAAATTTGGTTTTGGTAGTATCGTAGGGGTTAATTACATTATCAGTTTTATATATTGTAAACAAACATATAATATGGCTATTTTTAAGTAAGCAGATTCGTGATTTCAACGTCCAACTCTCAAATTAAAGCAATGTTGTTTGCTTAACCGTTTCCATTACTTGGTTAATCTTACTATTCTTAATATTTATATCAGTAGTGTGCGAGGAAAATTTTTCAGGGGGGGTGATTTTCCAAAAACAAAAAATTCTCTAACAAATCAGACAAATTTTCGTTTTTTTTTTTTTTTTTTGGAAGTCACTTTTTGAGGCGAAAATCCCTAGCAAATCGAAAGAATTTTCTCCGCGAAAAACCCTAGCAAATTGAAAGAATTTTCCTCAATTTTCTACATTGATGAGCTAAAAAAAAAGGTCTTCACTTTTTGAATCAAAAACCCAAAGCAAATTCGAATAAATTTCACGAAAAAAAATTCTGATCCAAATCACCCCCTCCGCACACTATTGATTTACATAAATATACGTTTATATGATAATTCCTTGATGCTGCATAATATTTCATTAGGAATTATTTCATATATACTAATCATATTTTCTATTGTTTTTCTCCCCTTAGGTAGTTAATGTCATACGCAATTTGACAATGATTGATGTATACGATTTAGAATTGATGGACAATCTTTTAAGCCCAAAATACCTTCGTTGCGTTTATAAAAAAAGTAAACAAATTGATTTGAAAATGTACGAAATTGATGGGTACTGTCGTATCAACCTGAAGGATACTTACAATGGAAATCATCTTCCTGATGTCTATATGAGGAAATTATGCTTTTTAATAACTTGGGTACCTGATAGAGTCAATAGATATAAGAAATTCGATAGATTTTCATATGACATTGAAGATGTCGTCAATAAATTATTCGTACACTCACAATACGCACATGCAATTCCGTATCGAAAATATGCAGGTTACCTAACCACTTTACACTTTACATATTTCACACCACAATAGTGGTCTATATATACAATAAATGAAAGAACATTTCCTTTTTATTAGATCTATTTGTATGCATGGACAAAATCACGCTCAAAACAATTGATATATCGAAACGATTTCCACCATTGTATGAAGGCCATTTCATCGAGGCAAGATCTTTAACCAAAGATGATCCAAATTTAATAATATTCGCATTCGTTACTGGCCGTACAAAAAATATTGTAAATGACGATCGAAATAATTGCGAAAATATTCCAAACGGTTTTATGTCACAAAAAATTGAACAGTTGAAAATGCTTGGTTTCCACCCAATCACTGTGAGTATGTTTTACATCTTGCACTTTTAAAAAATTATTTAAAAAAAATGATTTTCAACTTGAATATTTGCATACTTTTCAGGTACCAGCACGTTTATTGAAAGAAATCGATCAACAAAAAGCCATTGAAACATTTATTGTCGATGAAGCTAATAAAGTATTTCAATCAATCGGCGAAAATGGAACTATCACAAGGGACGCAAATTCGAGGTCAAATTTGAAGCCGGATTTATGTGTAGTTTAGGTCACATTATGGTCTGAATACATAGAAACGAGGAACGATAATCATTAGAATATAAGAGGATTAAATAAACTGAGAAAAATTATATTTTTCTTCAACTGTTGTCTTCTACAGTTTAACCAAAGTTTTTTAATTCGTACAGATTTTTCTTTCAGATGATGGTGGGTGCTATATGAACATAGTTCAAGAATTATATATGGTGAATAACATATGTCCATAAAGTTTTGGCAGTAAATTCAGGCGTTTATTGCGCCACATAAACAAAATCAAAAATATCAACCAATGCAAACGGCACGTTTATCAGTACCTCGGGACTACTATCAAACTCAATTCGATGAAATACATCCATTCGCGGAGACGTACAAATTGGATTAACGAAAAAGTGTCTCAAATGGTTGTGGCGGCTAATAAGTTCAAAACAAATTTCGCATGTGTCTAAAGATGAACCCATCTGCCTACGAACCATATATTGTGTTTCATGGACTTAGTATGAAGACAAAGATTCTAGAGAAAGTAAAAAGTACGGTCGTATTCCCTATTTAAATGCTCCAACCCTCCAAAATTGTCATCAAGTACCGAAAACCGGGTTGGTCAAGCAAAAATTCGTTTTTGGTGATTTTTATGGTTACAGCACATCATAGTTTGAACCAAAACAATAGATTTAGACCCGGTCATTAGGAATCAGCAAAATAAGTTCGAGAGAAAGTTGAAAGAAATCGACATATTGGTCCGTCAAAGCATGATTTTGAAGGTTCGACGCATACTGAGAAAAATCGAAGACAATGGCCCGTTCAGTGTAAGGTGAATGTGCTATTCGTAGCCCATTAATGAAGGTTTATACCAATAAAAAAGAATTTAATATTGTATGTTTGTTGTTCAAATGGCGAACATCTGAATTTACTGTCAAGACTTTATGGACATATGTTAGTTCTTTGTTGCTTCTTTATGAGTTTTGAATTTTTGAAGGAGAACGATTTATTTTGAAGAATAGCAACTTGATTATTTTCTTATTGACATAAAATTTTGTTTGCTCTAATTTTTTTTTCACTTGAAATTCAAACTCTTTCAAAATAACTGCAGACACGACATCGTCAAATTTCAATTAAATTGATTCATTTTTCGTTTTCGATTGGTAAATGTAATATATATGAACGGTGGCTTTATGCATTTTTTTTTCTTCAATATAAATTCATTTTTATCATATGTACAGGGGGAGGCAAAAGTTTTAAGCCTGACATATAGATGGAACTAGTTACATATTGTTCTTGTGCTGTAATTCACGTACAAACTGTCACTAGTATTTTAGAAAAAAAATTGAGTTGATATCTGTCATCGTTTGTTTTCAACAGCATTGCATACGAAGTAACCTCGAGATTTTTTATAAAATGGATAAAATCGAATATCGTGCGGTGATTAAGTTTCTGACAAAAGAAGGTGTGGCACCAAAAGATATCGATGATCGCTTGCGTGCAGTTTATGGTGAACGTGCTCCATCGTATGCCACAGTAAAACTATGGGCAAAACAATTCAAGTGGGGCAGAGAGTCATTAGAAGACGATCCACGTTCTGGTCGACCAATTGAAGCAACTGCTCCAGATATGGTGGAAAAAATTGAACACCTTGTGCATGAAAATCCTCGAATGAGCAAGAAAGTGTTAGCAGCAATGTTTGGCGTGTCAGAGAGAAGTATATTTAGAATCCTTCATGAAAAATTGCTCATGAGAAAGGTTTGCTCGCGATGGATTCCAAGAACTTTGAACAAGTCTCAAAAAGAAGAACGAGTTGCTGCTGCACATGAGTTTCTCGAGATGTTGGAATGGAATGAAGGGGATACTTTTGATCGTATAGTGATTGGCGATGAAACATGGATCTACTACTATGACCCAGAGCTCAAATCACAGACAATGGAATGGCACAAACGTGGTGAACCAGCATCGAAAATGCCTCGCAAACAAATTGCCACAAACAAAGTAATGGCCTCTGTGTTCTGGAATTCCAAAGGCATAATATTGGTTGAATTCCTCCCAAGGAACACCACAGTCGCGGGCTATTATTATGCACAACAGATGCATAGATTGCGCAAAGCCATCAGAGAAAAACGCCCTAGTCTTCTCACTCGAAAAGTTCTTCTTTTGCATGACAATGCACCAGCTCACAAATCATTGCTTGCACAAGCTGCCATCAGGGAATGCGGTTTCGAACAACTTCACCATCCACCATATTCTCCAGATCTGGCCCCCAGCGACTATTTCCTGTTTCCAAACACCAAGAGATATCTCAATGGAAAGCAGTACAAAACCCAAGAAGAGATTTCAACCGATATTTTCAACGTATGGGAGGTCAATAGTGCCGAGTGGTTTGAGGGAGGAATTAAAGCATTGAAGCATCGTTATGAAAGTGTCATTCGTGTACATGGAGACTACTTTGAAAAATAAATATACTCATTTGAAAATACAACGTGTCTTGCTATATCAGGCTTAAAACTTTTGCCTCCCCCTGTATCATCATCATTGAAATACTTTTGTTTGATTTTTTATCATCTCTGCTCGCATTGAAGAAAATATTTGAATTCAAATTTGGTGGATCCATTTTTTGTTTTTGTGTTTATGAAAAAGTCATTTTGCCCATAACCATTTCAACAACCATACAATCGAATGAAAATTGAAAGAATCACCAATAGATGGCGCATCGTCTAGTTGCATATACATCACCAATAATAAATGCAAAGTGTATTGGTCATTGTTTCAGATTGTATTAATTGTGCGCAATCACATACACATACACAGTAGCAGCTAGTGTGCCGGCATTGTTATTACGAAATGTCAAATGATCATTCGCATTTACACAGCGAGCTCCAATTGGATTAGTTGAAATAATTTAGTCTCAAAGGGGGAAAAAAACCGTAATTAATTTTTAGTGTGCTCAAAATCAGATAAAACCCAATAATTATCGAATTAATTCATATTTTGTCGTGATTTCAAACAAATTGATAACAAATTGGAAAATATTCTAAACTTTAAAAAACGTTAAGATTGGAACATTTTCAAGGAAATGCGCAACCTATACTTTCACTGACGCAACCCTTAGCATTACCAAATGCCAAAACACAAACATTATGAAAACGCAATTGCATGTTTCAGTCAAAACTACGAAGTGATTGATTTCGCTGTATACAGCTCATCAGTGCAGCTTTGTAGGCCAGTACCATCTGCATATCAAATCACAACTCTTGTGACCCAATCAGATGGATAGGAAAACTGACGGAAATAACCGGATAAGAAAATTCTCCAAACAATTGAGAAAACGATTGTTTGCCCTTCAAAACATGTAAACTACCAAGTGATATCCCGTAATGGTCCAACACCAAATGCACCGAATAAAGTGAATTTAACTGATTTTCAATCACCGTCAATACCGAAACTTTCTTTTGCCAATGCTCTTCGTAATAATAATGCAATACAAAAATCGGCCAAACGTAAACGAAGTGATAATGTACCGGTGCAAAAACCAAATTTGCCGTCAGTTAAAACTGGAACAAAATTGGGTCCATGTGCATTAACAGTGGCACCAAAGAATCGTGATTCGAAGCCAAAATTTGAAAAGGCCGTTTGGGTGTCAAGATTCCGCCCAGAAGTGACAAGTGAACAAATTATTGAATTAATTAAGGAAAACACGACGATTAATGATAAAAACCGAATGTCCACAAATTAGTGAAAAAAGACCGTGATTTGTCCAGTTTAAGATTCGTGTCTTTCAAAATTGAAACGAACACCGAGGATTTTGATGTTTTAATGAATCCGGATGTTTGGCCAGAAGATATTATGGTGCGTGAGTTTTTGCAAAGCCTAACTTTTGGTGATTTCTTTCCGGCTTTACCAACAAACGAGAATCGAAAAATGACACCCGACAAAATGGAAACAACCGAACAAAAATCACCGACAAACAATATCAAATCACAGCAACAAATGTCACCGAAAATAACACCGTAATAGACTTTGAGCAATTAAAAACATCGCATCAAAATGAAAATTCAGCTCCGAACCAAACAAAATTGAATGTGTATATTCAAAACACACATTCTATTCGCGACAAAGTCGATGAGATACGATTATCAACAAAATCGTGTCCCTTTCAAATAATTTCTTTTTTCGAAACTTGGCTACAAAAATGCATCACAGACATTGAATATTTCGGAAAGAGGTATAATGTGTATCGTGGCGATCGATCAGAACTGACAAGTGACAGAACAAACGGTGGAGGTGTTTTGGTTGCAGTGGATTGCATATTCAACAGCGAGAAAGTGACTCTATCGGAGAACAGTGCACTTGAACATGTATGTGTAAAAATTTCGTTCCAGTCGTGCAATGTTTTTGTGTTTGCGGTGTACATTCGGTCGGTGCACGAGACAGCAAAATTCTTGGAATTTGCTGAGATTGTGAAACTGATCCCGTACAATGAAAATGACATCGTTATTGTGTGCGGTGATTTTAATCAGCCCGGTGTCAAATGGATCAAAGCCGATGATGGTGACTATTACTTGCCAATGAATGTATCGACAGAAGGAGGCATTGCTGTTTTCGACACAATGTTCGACTGTGGTTTTCACCAACTGTCAAATATCGTGAATCCAGCCGGAAATGTTTTGGATTTGGTTTTCACAAACAAATTCTATGAGATGTCGTTAATTGAATCAACACGACCATTGGTAAAATCCGACATCTGGCACAAGGCAATTGAAGTCGAAGTGAGCCCACAGCCCCGCAGACATCGGAAATATATGCATACAATTCGGCGGATTTCGTTGCAATGAATGCATTCTTCGATGCGAATGACACTTTGGCAGAAATGAATCGAATGGATGACCTCGAGAATGCATTCCAAGCTTTTGGACATGTTCTACAAGAGGCGATCGATTATTTTGTTCCGAAAATCACCGTACAAAAAAGCACTGATCCACCGTGGTACAATAAACCATTGAAGCACCTGAAAAATGTCAGAAGAAAGGCATACAAACGTGCAAGGGAATCTGGCAACTTTGACGAATACAATGCCATTACCGATTCGTTCATGCAATTGCAGGGCCAGCTTTTCAAGTCGTATATCAGCCGTATACAATCGC